GGAATTGAATGTTTGAATGAAGTGAATGCTTTGAGCGGGAAGTTAGCTCGTTGGGGTGGAGCCTCTGTGAAGAGAGGACGGGAGCCGCCGCCCACCACCGGATGTTCTTTCCTGGAGAAGGACGTTCCGTGCGGTCACGAAGGACCAGAAAGAGAGTCACTGAGGAGACCAAAACTCGCACATTGTATGAATGTTATTCCAGAATACATCGATTCTTTATAGGACTTCGTGGCAAAATGAGCGTCCTTGGGTAAGGACGCAAAGGAGGAGGTCCTATGCAAATGATCTGACCCAGGAGCGGGGGAGGGAATGCGTTCAGCCCGCGTTGATGTAGGAGTCACTTTATACTTCTATACCACATGGCTGAAGCGTGTATCCTTCCTTGGTGAACACTTCCCACACGCAGCAGCGCAGAATGAGGTTATGGGAGATCTGGTGGACTAATCCTAGGTCTTAAAGGAGAACTATGAGAAGGGGGAGGGGCTTGTCACTCACCTCATAGTTCTAGCCGACCTGTGACTGTCACAGGTCGGCTCAGTAGATTGGGAGGTGAGCGAACACATACCGGCGCTCGCTCACCTCTCGATCCTGTCCCTGCAGAGAGCCGTGCCTGTCACTCACGGCTCCCTGCAGGGATTCCTTCAGCTCTGACTGGAGGAATGGAGGGGGCGGGTACAGCTGCCTCTAGATAGGCAGAGCCAGCTGTCAGTCACGCAGCTGGGCGGATCCAGACAGTAATGTCGGGATCCGTCCCGGCTGCGGCGTCTCAGTATACCGCGAGCTGTAGCTCCCTATATACTGAGCCTAGGGTGACGGGAGGACGCTAGTTTGTGTCCTCCCGTGACCCTGAGGAGAACTATGGGGAAAAACACTGACCTCATAGTTCTCCTTTAAATAATATCTTTGAATTTTTGGGTGGTTTTTATAAACAGATGGGTGGCCCCTCCATGGGTGGCCCCTGGGATCCAGCATATGCCTCCATTGAGGGTATTGGGAAGAACCGGTCTTCTATGGCGGCTCAGGTACATAGATGATGTTTTTATTATTTGGGAGGGGAGCGGGATGAGTGGGCCCTGCGCCCATTTTCGTGGTGAGAGTCACACCAGCAGAGATATCAGTTCACCCGAGTCGTTGCGGACTGGCACTGGGCGGCCCTTGGC